CAATTTAATTAAGCAACAATCCCAAGTTACAGTCGTAAACAATCGGTTTAGTAAACTCTGTGTGGTTCGGGCTTCGGACGTCATTTTGAGTATAATATTGATGCCTCAATAATGTCGCGCGAACGTGAATCTAAGCAGCGACTGGTTACTGTTTTGTTTTGGCCTGGGTTATCAAACTTGATAACTATCCTTGACTGTTTTTGCTGTCTTCAAAATAAAAAGAATATTACATGAATTGGCCTTGCGACGCCATGAATTGAAACAAAAGAGTGCCGTATAATTCTATCGCTTCACGTGCTTGTAGAGATTGTTCATGTCATCTTAAGATGATGGTCTTAACCATAATAAGAGTGGTCTTTAGTAAAGAAATAAAATATTGAGTTATATAAGCACTTGGGAATTTTTAAGAACACGAGAGAAGTGCGGAGAAGCACGAGCCGAAGGCGAGTGCCTCTCGCACTGCTCGAGGAACAAGTTTATTTCTTTCTTTTATAAAATGTATTGTGAATTGCGCGCACTCGTACCGATGACGTAGGCTGCGTGCATTATATCTAAACAGTGCACTCGTGTGATGTAAGGCGCGTGCATTATGGAAAAATGATGAACTCGTTCAGACCAATCACAGCGCGCGCATTTCTCTGAACACTTTATAATATCGGGTAGTCATCCCCTTTTTAGGGACGAAGTAATATATTTTCCTAATGTTCACAAAAGAAGAGAAAAATAGAACTCGCTTATGTATAATTCTCAAAACCTGATTAAGCAAATTCAATCAAGTGTTTACTTTATACAAGAAGTACAACATTTTCTACAAAAGTTTATTTTGATGATTCATGAATCAGTCTCAGTGTGTTACAAATCAAACCTACATGAATCTCGATTAACTGAACAAGTATTCTCCTCATGAAATTGACTATGAACTAGACAAAATCGCTTCAAAATCTGAGTCGATCATGACCACCGATGGTAAAATTCTGGTTCCCCTGCAGAAAGGTGGCAGCATTCTGCCCAGTAGGACACTGGTACGAGCTATTCAGGCTGACAGAGCAGTTGTTGGAATTTGGCGCGTTGACAATACGAAGGTCGTGGCCACTTCCAAACGTAGGCCCATTTCCATTGTTACAGTAGATTGCATTCCCCTCTTTTCCAGTTATCAGTGGTAGCTTTGAAGGTGGTAAACCATTTGGGTTGACAAGGCTGAACAGGAAAGATTTAGGAGCTTTTTTGTAACTGGCTCCGCTTGCTGAACAAAAACAACAAAAGGTAAGTGAACCAAGCAGTGTTTCCTAAAACCCCGACGCTGATTATTAAAAAAATGTAAAATTATCAAACAGAGAAGCCTTGACTGTGCTCTTTTCTGTTGTAAAGCACGCAGGAAGCGGCTAGAGCACGAAAGAAGTAGGGCTCTATGCTTTGTACTCTAATAAAACTCGCTCTTTCAACCAATGGTAGCGCGCGTTATATCCAGACTTTATAATAAACTGTCTTATGGCCTTTATCACTAACTAGTGTGTTAGCCTAATTAAGCTGCAACAAAACTGACGGATCTATAGTTCGAGCCTGCACATGAAACTCTGATTTATTTCTGCTTTCCCGCTCTTAACAAATGACTAACATCTTCAAAAAACTCACATCTTTTAGTGAGATTTTCTTGAATTGCTGCGTGGATCTTGATTTTAACCTCAATTTTGTGCAACGTTCTTGGGAGGTTACATTGTACAACTTCACTGGGAAAAGCGTTTGAAAAACTTTTGTCCTCCTTCACTGTACCCAGTTCCTCAGTTTACTGTCTGGACCATACTTAACTGCATACTCCCATACATGGAAAGATGTTTTGTCTACTTCATAAACTGAATTCTGTTTGAAGCAACGTCCTTTGTTTAAGAAGAGCAAATTAAGGAGAACGAGGTTAAAAGCAGGGGGAGACTGGTTACAATTTGGAAAAGCAAGGGATTATGGGTCTTCTCGTTCCCGATTTCCTTCACGCGCCTGGAGGTATTCCAAAGCACACAGCTCAGGCCTCATGGAACAGGAAATAAGTCGCTATAAACCTGTAGTTAATAGGGTTGGCAAGAAGTGTTAAAACTTACCGGGTTGGTACCACTGTTCCTCAGTGTATCCTCCAAAGATGTAATTTCCACTCTTTATCACTGTTACTGTTGGCCCCTTTCGGTCGCAACAGTAGTGAAAATTGGAAGCATTCCAGCCATTCCGGGTGGCGCGGTATAACAAAACGTAGTCGTCACTTGCGCTCTCAAGCGTTTCCCTCAACCAGTCAATCAAGATTTGGCGTTGCTCCAAGGAAAGGATCACAGAATCCTGAAAAGGTTGTGCTTTCAGCTCGCTGAGTATCCCTTCGATTTGATAGAATTCTGCCTCGCTCAGTAACTCCTTGCGAACGACTGCATCGTCTGGTAACACGAGTTTTCCGGTGCGCAGATAATTCAGGATATACCGGAAGTGGGTTCCATCTCGATCAATGAAGTAGGTTCCATCCTCGCCGGGTTTTGTGTCAAATCTTCCTGAAAACATGGCGTGTAACATAGAACCTAGAAAAACACGATAAAAAAAAAACCCTCTCTTAATGCCTCGTTCATCGTAAATTTGAACAAAGCTTCAAGTTTTAGAATATTTCAGGGGTGTTTTATTTATTAGATAATAGAAAAATCTCATTCGATCCACGAATTATGATCGCTCTGAGTTGTTAATCTTAGATTACCTTCAATTAAAGAAATGGCAGAGAGTGAAATAACGCATCATACTTGTTTCTAAGACTATTTGAAATCAAAAATGACCATAAAGTATATCTTATAACAGAGAACGAAATATTCCTTTGATTAAGGCCGAACCGATGTCATAGAAGCATACAGGTGATAATTATATTTTGATAACAAGATCTTAGATCAGGCCTCTGATTACATAACAAATGCGTTGGCTAATTCCTAAGTACCTGGATCTTTATTCATGGTATCCAAACTGGTCGAAAAGAGATGACCACCCACATTGAGCTTCAGCATCGTCGAGAAATGAACGTGTTCCAGCTTCTTTGCGACCTCCTCAAAGGCTTCCTTTTCTTTGCGAACTTTGCTTATCTCGCGCCTCAAAATACTGAACGCATCAGTAATGTGCCTGTTTACTTCGTCTAGAGCTACGTCGTTCCGCAAATCTTCCTTTGAACTGCGAGAGAAAGACATCTCAGACTCTTTCACACCGTTATGCGAGTCACTTTTCTTCGAAACTTTAATGCGGGTAGAAATCATTTCAACGCTCTCCAACGAGACTTAGACAAGTACAAAATGCAAAGAGTTCCAAGAATTAACAAAAGATTCTTTGTCTTCATATTTCGCGGAAATTGCACGAGGTTTTGATTAATTCTCGGTATTTCGATTTCTCAGAAACAACTGGACGTTTAGTTCACGTGTAGTAGTACTCTCCCCCCCCAAGGTAAAATGGAAGCGAGAGAAGGTCTACGCAAATCCGTCACTAATAGTGTTATGCATAATTATATAACTTGATGATTTTTTTTGCGAAGTGCCACGTGTTAGCGCGAAAGTTTATCGAGATAAACAACAACATTGTAACGAATTCATCTTATATTTTTCAGGTAAATTTTGCAATCAGCTCCGAGTCTAAATGTAGGCTATGCTTCAAGAATATAGAAAAAGATTACGAGCGATTTTTGGCATAGAGTAAGAAGAGGACGATATTCGATTAGCATCGCGCTTACGAAACTAGATTTAATAGCTTCGCAGCACCGCTCGGAAAGAAGCCTAGCCGATCAGAATTCACTAAATAATCGGCAAAATGGGTTAAGCAATAAAAAGCCGTTTTATATTTTCTTGCAAAGGAGTGACGCTACAGAACACGATTAGTGTCAGGTTTGCGTGGACGTTCCCTCGCTTCCTTTTCACCTTGGGGGGAGGGGAGGGTACGGCCAGAAGTAGGCTACTGCATGTTTAGTCATGCAGTGAAACGAAAATTCATAAGTGTTTCATGGTCCGCTTCATTTCGCATGCTACTTTATTATACAAGCCTTTGAAGCAGTCACAAGACTTACAAGATTGGTTTGACGCATCCCTAACCGTCCAGAGGTATCGATAAGGTTTACGAAAAAAAGATATTGTGTGAACTTTAAAAAAAAAAAAAAAAAAAAAATTAATCCCTCCTCATACCCGGCATCCTGAAGCTTATGTTACGCGCTTGGCCGCCTTTGCAGGTTTTTTTCAAGACCTGGTCATGCAAGATTAGTCATGGGTTAACGACGACAAGCCAAATGAATGATAAGGATGAGTTTCTAAAGAAACTGTGCTACAGCATCGGTGGGAGAGTATATCAGGGTAATTTAGTATTATCAACCGATTTGATAACGTAAACTGACTACCGTAAAGAGTTTCAAAGTTAACGTTTCAATCGTTAGCCCTTTGTCAGAGCGATTGGAGGAATCGTGGATTGCTTGTTTGTTTATATGCAGAAAATAAAAGCTACGCTAGTGGTGGGAATAGGGTGTCTTCAAGACAGAACGGTTAAATTAAATTCTGCCTTGGGAAGTGGGGTTAAATTTCTAAAGAAACCGTACCGCGGCGTTGGTGGGGGTACCTTTGCCGAGAAAATTTCTAAAATAAATCAGTGCTCTAAGTAGTAAATTAACATTTCCATGCAGGAGAGACAAGGCTTCTACAAGATAGCTGTTGCGTTCAAATGAATATCATTTTGCCTGATGAGCAAGTTATGACTCAGGATAGATATCTACGAAGACATTTTCTCCTCTCTATGTTTTGATGGAGCTACAAAGTTTAAAACTTTTTTTCTGGCTGTTTCGGAATAACCCGCTCTTTTAGCACTTTGTTGTTTTACATGAAGGTGGTAACAGCGACTTTCTAGGAAATCAGAAACTTACAACATTTTCTTCGGCAGAAAAAATCTAAGGTTCTCGCAGTTTTTTTTGGCTCCTACTTGTGATAGCTGATAGCAGCCTTTTTATTATTTATGACCAAACCCAATTTAGGTTTGACCGATTCCTCTCCCTTTATTTAAGTTGAAAATTTCTCACAAGTAAACAACCTAACCATGCTGATAAATTCCCACTCTGCGCTGAATCTAGCCCATTACCTCCCTCACCCTCCTCTTCCCAAATGAAAAGAAACATCACTTACGCACCTATTCCATTAGCCTGTTCCAGGCATCCTATTGGTAAAATGAGGCTAAGATGGGAGAGAGGTCTGGATCGTGTCGTTCGTTCTTTGCCCGACCCGTTCCAGACCTTCCTCGATTTTTTCACTCCTCCACTACTATTCCGCCGTTTACCAAAGCACTTTGTTTTACTGACACAACGCCTGTGTTGAGAACCTCTTGCGCTTTTATCGTGCTTTTTATATGAACAACCCGCATTTGATTTATAATGGTAATAGGACTGAGTGGAGTTTAATTGGGTCTGTAATCATACGAGTTATTGACAAAATCGTGGAAGTCCGATATGTTTATAAATCACGAATATAATAACAAATAGAATTGTGCAACACGAAGTCTTGTTACCAATTAATCAAAACTATGACAAAATTTGAAAAAAGGAACTGGACATTGGTTATCTTTTTTCATTAAAACAAATAGTTTAACTCGGCTAAATGTGCGACAGCAGCGCGCACATGACGCGTACCGTCCACTAGCACGGGCTTAACGTTAAATTGTCCCAGCACACTGTTCAATTACAAGCATGAAACGTACACTATCCTGTTAGTGCTCAAATCGGACTGGTGATAACCAATCATGTTCAAAAGTGTTGTTATAGTTTTGATTATGCTTGTTAATCCACCACCTGGTTAATATCTTCACAGATCTCCAGTCAGAAACAGTCTTCGCAAACATAAGTAATTAATCAAATAACAACAACTCACTTAAATGACTAATAGACAATTCTTGACAATCAGAAGCAAGAAACAATCTTTCACGAGCCAAATCAGTACAGCACCAGAGTTTCTAAAGGCTCTTTCACAGCCATTCCTATATCAGTAACAAAACTCTCTATCAACAACATGACTAAGAGGAAACTAGTCCATGGCAAACGTTTACAGAATCAGTTTTTTTCTCATCAGGAAGAAAACCAAATGACAACAATGTCTTTAATTTTCCAACACAAACACTTCCATTTCATTCACAGTGAAGTTTTGACTTCCTGTCAAAAAATTGAAACAATTCTGACCTACTGGGCTCTGGTATGTATTGCCAAGGTTAACGGAGCAGTTGGAAGAATTTGGAGAGTTGCAAATGTTAAGGTCATGTCCACCTCCAAATACTGGACCATTGCTACTGTAGCAGTAGATGGCATTTCCTTCCATACCATCTATCAAAGGCAACTTTGTTGGTGGCAAGCCACTGGCATTGACAAGGCTGAACAGGAAAGAACCTGGTGCTCTTTTGTACAATCCAGTATCTGACAAAAAATATTCACTGAGTTAGATTGGTTGTATTACAATTCTAAATAGCAAACCATGAGAGACAAAACCAGGACAAAGTCTGGTTTGACTATATGAGTTTAACACCCAGTTAAAAACTGTACAAGAAGCATTCCTGCCATACGATAAAAGTTACTATCATATGAAAAAAAACATAAAAATTAAACAATAAAAAAAAAACAAACAAACAAACAAAATGAATACACAACTGCAACACCAACGGTAAAAACAGCGATACACTATTCATGGTATCAAGGGGTCCTTCAAAACCTGATATTCCCACTGAATTGTCAATCAAAAGGATTTATCCCTCAGAAATGTGAGCAAGCTGACAAATCTGATATTACTGTACAATAAAGGGGTGGAGGGGGGGGGGGGGGGGGGGGGGGGGGGGGGTGGTTGATTGAATCTTCTATAAGTTTTTCATGAATTTGTGAAAGGAGAAATCTTACCAGAAGCTTCTTAAGATGAGGTTTGTGCTTTATGCCTGGAAGCTCTTATTGGGATTTTTTTGTAGAACTAGATAGATTGTAAAGGTAGCACTTCCTGACCGATTTAAGGTTTTTTTTCTTTTTTGGCAAAATCATCATAACATTTCTTCAAAAAGAAAAGACGAAAAAGGTACAAGTTCCCAAGCAAAACACTTCTTACTTCTGTAAATAGTTTGTAAAAGGAAAGTAAGCAGCAACTTTAAGCCCAAAATATTAGGAGAGGGGGGTGGGGGTGGGGAAGTACAGAAGTTTGATAGGTCTCACAGGAAGGCCTCTTACTTGACGATTGCCATGGCTGCTCGGTATATCCTCCAAATGTGTAATTTCTGCTCTTTATCACGGTGACTGTTGGTCCTTTGTTATCACAACAAGAGTGGAAGTTAGAGGCGCTCCATCCATCGCGAGAAGCTCGGTATAACAACACGTAATCGTCACCTAAGCTTTCGCGAGTGTCCTTCAACCAGTCCACCAGGGTTTCGCGCTCTTCTGAAGAGAGAACTGCAGAATCTTTAAACGGCTTTGCTTTCAACTCATCGAGTATCCCATCGATTTGATAGAATTCCGCCTCGCTTAACAACTCCTTGCGAACGACTTTATCGTCCGGTAACACGAGTTTCCCAGTGCGAAGATAATTTAAGATATGTCGGAAGTGTGTTCCGTCTCGGTCGATGAAGTAAGATCCATCCTCGCCAGGTTTTGTGTCAAATCTGCCTGAAAACATGGCATGTAACATGGAACCTGTGAAAGCAAGATGAAAAAACCCTTTTAATACCTAAATCCTTTTTTTTTTCAAAAAGAATCAACTACATTTACCCAATTTGGCGTGTGGCATCGAACATCACAAAGCAAGCTACATTCAACCGTATCAAAAAGGTTTTTAAGTGTGGTGTATTCAGTTAACTAGAAGTAATGGCGGATTCTTTAAGACCACGTTCCACATGCCTGTTCGTTTGCCTGTTCGTTTTTAAACAAGCACAGACACGCAGCTGTAAGCTCAGAAGTCAGCCTGCAAAATGTAAATATCGTTTTGAACAATGGACTTTAAATCGAATTCGATTCTCTCAACTACTTAAACAGCTGCAGATGCAACAAGATTTGAATTTATGGATAAACAATTGAGTGGAAGCGTACTTTGTACAGCATATCAAACCACGTGATCTAAATCCTTAGTTCAAAATTCAAAACTTGCTTCAAGGTACCTGGATCTTACTCATAGTCGCCAAACTTGTGGAGAAAAAATGGCCTCCGACGTTGAGTTTCAGCATCGACGAGAAATGAACATGCTCGAACTTCTTTGCCACCTCATCAAATGCATTTCTCTCCTTGCGAAGCCTGTTTGTCTCACGCTTCAGAATGTCGAAAGCGTCTTTGATGTGTTTATTTACTTTGTCTAAAGCTTCATCGCCTGGAAAATCTTTCTTGGAGTTACACTTCGTCGACATCTTAACTCAGTTGGGTGGGTTATACAAAAGGACGGGTATCAAAATCAAATTTTTTTCCTGAGAATCCCGAGATATTTTGTGTATTCTTAGAATTTACGCGTTTCTTTGAGTCTCGTTAAGTTAATTTCTCGGAAATTTATGGTGTATCAATTTCGTCATGCATGAATTACTTCGAGTCACGCCATGCATGAAAATTAAATGGATATTGGAAAACGTTAATTATCAATAACTGTGATTCAGCCAAAAGGTCTGGATAGCAGCAAATATGTCACGAATTTAAGAAAATATACGACCTCTTTTAAAAACATGTTTCGAAAATTCTTCTGTCATCTTCAGTTCTGATTTATACAAAGTGCAAAGTTAAATTTAAAGTGTGTGACAAAATGCTAATTGGACAAAACAGACAACAAAACAAAAAAATGTATGCAATTGCAAGGGAAGTCTTAAATTAACATGATAAAGTTGATGATTAATTAAGCTGACTCGTAATGAATGCAATTCCCCGGTTTCCGTTTCAGACACTACGCTGACCTTTTATTTCAGATTACCTTACTTGGCCCTTTTGTCTGTTGTCACGTAAAAAGGGGGTTCGCTACTTTGCTAAGTGTTATTGAAATAACATAAATATTAATTTGGTTTTTTTATCTTTTAAAATGCGGTGAAATGATGCGGGTCATAACTTTTTTAGTGACTGACCAAGGAGAACTGGTAAGTCTACTCAGGAGCCCATTAATGGCTCCTGGTCTACTGTTGTAAGGGAAATCATAAGCAATCTTCAGGCGGCTGGAAAAAATGTTTCTGTGGCATATTCCACTGGTATAGCATGCACATTGTACGATGCTAGTGTTGCTTGTACCGAGTATTCCTATTATGAATTCGCTTCGCGGTCAATTTTACCGCATCTCTTCCCCGTCGACACTTTTTCAGCCAAAATAATTCAAGCTTAAGTGCTCACAGCAAATCCCACAGAATATGCAAAATTTGTCAGTTTTTTATCTGTTTTAATTTCCCCTCGCTGTCTGATTGTAAATTAATCTATTATATCACTCGTGGTAGAGAGAAAATTACTATTCTATTAAAAACTATTCCTTAAAATGTGTCAAATTATCAACGGATCCTGTCGTGACTTAAGCCGAGTCACGCAAAGCGTGACGCTTTTATGGAATAATCGTTTGCTTTTCCTCTAGACGTGAGCTTGGGCCACCTGTGCTTAAATTCAAAAAAACTATTCACATTCAATGGGAGCAACCTACACTTAATCATCAACGTTATAGTATTATTTTAAAACTTTCATTGTAATTGCACACATTGTTTCGTTCTATTGTCTGTTTTGTCCAATGAGCATTTGCCATACACTTTAAATTCAACTTTGTACTTTGTATAAATCAGAACAGATGACAGTAGAACTGTCGAAAGATGTTTTTAAAAGATGTCGAATATTTTCTTAAACTGTGATTCTATATTTACACCGTTTCGCTAAACACCTTACACTATACAAGAAACCCACTATTAGAATGAAATGGATAAATTCAAAAGAAATGCACAGAGGATAAAATAACAGTTGAGTTAAGGCCTGACGAGTAAATAAATAAAAATAATGTAGAGTTGTGCAAAAGATAGAAAGGATGTAATACTCTAAGTATGACATTTTTGTGGTTTTGATAGTTCTGTGATTTTCCTGGATCGACGAAAGAACGTATCCTCAGAAAAAATTCGTAAAATGATAAGCCACAAAACCTTATCACTTCCGGTCCTGAAATGAGAAAATGTCAACATCGTACCCAGGACTTTATCGGTCTATTTCTTTTTTTATTGTTGTTTATTTTGTTTTTTTTTGTTAAGATGGCGGCCTGCCAGTTGGAAATATAACAGTGTTTCTGAAGAGTGGCTCCAAAAAGGTTACTCAAGGCTAATGAGGCAGACTCTGATTGATCCTCATAATGAAATTGATGAAGAAGGCCCAAAATCATATTAAAAGGTTTCCACTGATCATAAGATACCGATTTACGATAGAAGTGGCAATTTTAGGAACCGGGCGAGCTCTTGATTTAATGGTTACCAGGTGACTGCGGATTACAAATACACCACGTTATCTCACTACAGAACCAAGACGACAGGAACAACGCTTAATTTTAAAGGGGAACAGAAACTTAGAAGGAGATGACGGCTCTTTTTTCCTTTTTTTTTTTTTTTTTTATTACGCATAGGTACAAAACATGACCTTCCTTGCTCTAAAGAGTATCAACCTCAGAAAATCTAAAAAAACTTGGCACTCCCATAAATTTACATGAGAACTGAAGCTAGTTTAAAAACCTTACTCACCCTCCCCCGCTTCCCCTCACAACACCTTAATAAAACAAACTGCCCATGCCTGCCCCCACTGCCTGTCGAATACAAATTAAGGCTTCCTTTTCTTTACGAACTTTACTTATCTCGCGCCTCAAAATACTCAATGTATCAGTAATGTGCTTGTTTACTTCGTCTAGGGCTACGTCGTTCGGCAAATCTTTCTTTGAACTGCGAGAGAAAGACATCTCAGACTCTTTCGCATCGTTTTGCGAGTCACTTTTCTTTGAAATGCGGGAGGGAAACATTTCAACTTTCTCCAACAAGCCGTCGACGAGTAAGAAATGCAAAGAGTTCCAGGATTTAACAAAAGCTTCTATGTCTTCATATTTCTCGGAAATTGCACGAGGTTTTGATTAATCGGTATTTCGATTTCTCAGAAACAATTGGTGACTCACCATTGAAAGGAAGCGAGGGAAGGTCCACGCAAACCCGACACTA